GCAAAAGCTGCCAGCTGTACAGTCCTATCACTCGGGGTGACCAAGTTGGTCGGGTCCGCGCCGCCCGTCCCGTCTCTCATCTCGATGCTTCGAGATGATTCGGATTGGCTATGGTTTTGCAAAAGCTGGGCTTCGACAGGTTTCTAGACAGCAGGGAATGTTTTCTGAGACAGACTGGTCGTCACGACGTCTGATTGGCCGATCGATTCACCAATAGTCGTCCAGGATCACATCCGCTTCAACTTGGTCGGATTAATACTGAGTCCCGAATAATATTAATAGGGACTCCCTACCGTCAAGGCATTAAGCTCGACTTAGGTGTAGCTAGATAGATAACAGAGTATAACTACTATAGGGCTACATGTATTTAATGGTGCATCGACCCGGATCTGTGACTAATCGAAGGCGCGAGGGAACACGGCTGGCTCAGCGATGAAAACTGCCTGAATGCAGGCAACTTACCTTGTTTCGGTTGTCCCCAAGACCCGCATCAGCCCAGGCCATAGTTGAATTGTCTATCATTAGCGCCATCCATCCTGTAAGGTATGCGTATAGCGGAGAAAAGTTACACAAGGATCGGAAGCCCAACTGTAATGACCAGATAACGATAAGACTATCAAAACTCTTATGGACAGCATTAAATCGTATATAAATATATGTATTTCATTGCTTTCAAAACATCTACCCATATCTACCAACATGCACTTCTTGTATCGGCTAACTTAGTCAACCTCCTCGATCTTCGGGCCCTGGTCCGTACTACTCGACGAGGAAGGAGCAGCTCCAGCACCAGGCATGCCGCCCGCCATTCCACCGGCCATACCATCCGCACCGCCCGCAGATGCGTACACCTTCTGCAGCACCGGGTTGGCAACAGACTCCAGCTCCTTCTGCTTCGACTCGTACTCTTCCTTCTCGGCCGACTGGTTGGCGTCCAGCCATTGGATCACCTCCGTCACCTTGTCGTCCACCACCTTCTTATCGGCTTCTGGGATCTTCTCCTTCATCTTCTCGTCGTTCAGACTGTTGCGCAGACTGTACGCGTAGTTCTCCAGCGCGTTCTTCGCCTCGATGCGCACCTTGTTGGCCTCGTCCTCCGACTTGTACTTCTCGGCTTCGGCCACCATGCGGTCGATCTCGGCCTGCGAGAGGCGACCTTTGTCGTTCGTGATCGTGATCTTGTTCTCCTTGCCCGTCGACTTCTCCACGGCCGACACGTTCAGAATGCCATTGGCGTCGATGTCGAACGTCACGTCGATCTGTGGCACACCGCGAGGCATGGGCGGGATGCCGTCCAGGTTGAATTTGCCCAGCAGGTTGTTGTCGCGCGTCATGGTGCGTTCGCCTTCGAATACCTGAATCAGCACGCCCGGCTGGTTGTCCGCGTACGTCGAGAACGTCTGCGACTTCTTGGTCGGCACTGTCGTGTTACGCGCAATCAGCGTCGTCATGACACCACCCGCCGTCTCCAGACCCAACGACAGCGGCGTCACGTCTAGCAGTAGCAGGTCCTGCAGCTTCTCCGACGAGTCGTTGCCGCTCAGGATAGCTGCCTGCACCGTGGCGCCGTACGCGACGGCTTCGTCCGGGTTGATGGACTTGTTGGGCTCCTTGCCGTTGAAGAAGTCCGACAGAAGCTGCTGCACCTTGGGGATACGGGTCGATCCGCCCACGAGCACCACTTCATGCACCTGACCCTTGGACAGCTTGGCATCGCGTAGCACCTTCTCCACGGGCTCCATCGTCTTGCGGAAGTAGTCGGCGCACAGGTCCTCGAAACGTGCGCGCGTGATGGTCGAGTTGAAGTCCACGCCGTCATACAGCGAGTCGATCTCGATGTAGGCTTGAGCCGACGACGACAACGTACGCTTGGCACGCTCACACGCCGTACGCAGACGACGTAGTGCGCGCTGGTTGTGCGTCAGATCCTTGCGGTGCTTGCGCTTGAACTCCTGCGTGAAGTGGTCGACGAGGCGGTTGTCGAAGTCCTCACCACCCAGGTGCGTGTCACCCGCTGTGGCTTTCACCTCGAAGATGCCTTCCTCAATGCTCAGCAACGACACGTCGAAGGTGCCGCCGCCCAGGTCGAAGATCAACACGTTGCGCTCGCCACCCTTCTTGTCCAGACCGTACGCGATGGCGGCGGCCGTCGGCTCGTTAATAATAC